AGATTGCTTCTGGTAAGTTGTGTTGTGTATGGGTTGTGGATAGCTTGTAGCTGACAAATTTGTGGATTCCACTAGGGATCTCAAGAGCGGTAGTGATATGATCATAGGTCCAGGTTTCTGGGTCAAAAGATGTGTTGGTATGCCTGGTTCTTTGATGTACTAGTGTTGCCCATTTCATGTCATCTGGAGTGTCTATTGATAAAAGATTGAGGTTTGTTTTGGTGGCTTGGCTATATGAGCATTTGCTTGTAGTAGTTTGGGTAGCGGAGAGAGATCTGAAGGTACTTCCGGGTGTAGATTTAGCCACTTTGTTTGGAGCTACAATGAGTAGGGATACGTTATTTCTAGACCTTTTGCGATTGGTGTTGGTACTGGTTGTAACTTCGGTGGTTGTAATATTAGGGGTGGTTGTTAGGTTTAGCATAGAGGTAATTTGTTTGGTAGGCGTATTTGGCCTGGGCGGGTTGGATGCAGTGGCGTTGCCAGTAGTTGTGTTACTAGTTGAAGATGTGATAGTTGTGGCTATAGTGGAGAGGTTTGTGTCTGACTTGACTGTGTTGTTAGTGTTTTTGTTTGTATCTGGTGTAATATTGGTGAGAGGCCTTGGTAGGTCTATAGGAATAGGTACAGAGGTGTTGCTAATTGTGTGTTGTATGATGTCTTCCATGTTGCTTTTATTGGATTCATTGTTAGATTCTATTTGTCCTATAGTGTTGTACAGAATTCTGGGCAGGTCTGCAGTACCTTTTGCCTTGGTGTAAGGTTTCATATTGCTTTCATAGGCATTGGTAATTGTATTGAGGTCACAATTGCGAGTAGATTTAGAAAGTTTGGCGCTAATGTTAATGATATTGTTTTTTGAGGTAGTGAGATTGAATAGAACTGATTGGGAGGGATCGTTGTGTTTACAGATTCATTGGGATTAATAGTTGACCAGGTTTGGGATCCTGCCAGATTTGGTAATGTCGATATAGAAGATGAAGTCGTTGACGTACTCTGAGATAGAGAAGCTGACAACAAAAGTAAGTTTGGACCAATCTTTGATAGTAATCTCGATGAAATTTTTTGTGTGTTCTACTTCTGAAGTCTGTGGCTGGGAGATAGTGGCAGTGGCCTCTTGTTGTATAGCTTTGCGAGACGTAGAAAAATAACTGAAGATGCCAGAGGAGCTTTCTGAGGTCATATTTTTAGGGGCAAGTTGAGGCTCGGTAATGGGAGTTGTTTGAAGTTTTTTGTTGTTTTGGTATAGCAGGCTGTTAGTACTTTGCAGTGATGTGTTTAGGTATTGGTGGTCTTTAGGACCGCTTTCACGGGAGGATAAAAAAACTGGTTTTTTGTCTTTTGGAGTGTTTATTGTTATTTATTTGTCGGAGAGAGAACTTTTTAAACAAAGGGCACCTCTTTTAGGTCCTTTTGTAGGTGCCGGATAACTTTATTTAAGAGCCGAGTATCAGTTTACTTAATAAAATTTTGAGATAATTCTGCGAGAAAGTTTTTCTTTTTGTTCCTGTTTTGGTAAGAGTGATCTACAGGAAGAGTTTTTTTATTAATTATTTATTTTGATTTGTAGCTTATTTATATAATAACAGTTATATGATTTATCACACATATATTATATATAAATTTTTTTTTTTTTTTTTTAATATTAAAGGTGACCATTTAGGCCATTGGCATGAGCTTTATTCGGATAGTTACGATATTACATCAGATTCACGAAGATACAACTAGCCACACGT